CAATTGTATTAAGGGACGAACCTCGTACCCAGGCATTGGCTTATTTGGATTCGCTGCCGAGACCCACATTCAAAACTCCAAGTAGGTTACGTGTTGAAATTCTAAAAAAAAAAAACAATTTTTTTTCGTTGTGTATTAGAATTGTTTGTTTGTATTGGAATTTAATGATTTGGTATTAAAATCTAATGATTTGTTATGTATTTGGAAATATTTTAGAGAGATAGATAATTGTATGATTTATAATTGTTTTTTAATATTTATTTGATATTTTCACATTTTTTTTAATTACACAAAATATTCTGTAATGCACAAATATATACACTCGGTGTCAAATGTGAGTTCATATACACGCCATGACGACCTCTGACATTTCTATTGAAAAGTTTGATAGTTTTTAGGGAAAAATTGCTCAGTACGATTTGAAATATGACCTTATGCTGTGCTGTTCTTGAACTAGGCAACAATAAATTTTGCCTGACGCCCTCTGATATCTCTATTTTTTAGCTTCATATTTGTAGCTTAGAATTACTCATAAGACTTGTTGTACTACCATGTGTTGTGTTGTTTACAGTGGCTTATAAATTGAAAGCCAAATGAAGGGCTACCCCGAAACTTGGACCAATATTGATCATAATTAATAAATGATAGTCAATTTGGTTGGGGAAAATCCAAAAAATATATTTTTGAAAAATCCAAGTCTATGGTAGTCCTTGAAAAAAATTCAAAGCTTTGATAGTTCTTGAAAAATATTTGTAAATATGCTCGCCTATAATATTCCTTGAAAAATTTAAGGAATGTAGTAAAGTCGAGCTGGGCCGACGATATCATACCCTTCACCACTGTACAAGTTCCGATACAGTCGAAAGGACTTGTAGGGATTCTAAATCTACTGAGTAGTTTTAGAATCTAAGATAATTTTTGAACAAGACGGACAACGATATAAATTTGCAACTACAACAACACAACGAGTATTCAGACGATACTTACGTTATGTTGACGGCAAATTAAAACACTTTAAAACAATTTAATTCAAAAATCTGACACAATCGGTCTTTTTATTGATTTCAAATTCGGTAAATATTACTTAAAATTTTATTTGATCTGGCGATCCACTTTGTTTTTAAAATTCAAGAAGAAGAATGACTTTTTTGTATTGGTGGAGATGGGGCCTCATCGATAAATTATTTATCGAGGTCGATGAGGTCCATTTCGATTTTATCATCTAATGGGTTGGGCAGATTCACAACAACCACTTTGGGTATATTCTACATACGTATCCTAACAGACGTCGCCTTTTTGAAGGAACATTGACATGAAATTGAACCAATTTAAATATGTGATCCTTTTCTATATCTAAACAGGAATAGGTCGAAATTATATATGGAAGCTATGCTATATCTACATCTGAATCGATTTCAAGGAAACTTGCCAGATATTAATTTATATTAACTTCAGTACGTTGTGTCAATCGGCCTAGCTATGGAACTTTAGTGCACCATTTACTTAATATCAAACGAAAATATATATGGGAGTTGTATGTAAATCTGAACCGATTTTCACGAAACTTAGCACACATTCTAGACTTAATTCAGTACGTTATGCCAAATTTCGTGCAAAGCAAAAGATATATAGGGACATTGGTGCACCAATTACCTTAAATCGGACGAAAATATATATGAAGGCTATATCTAAATCTGAACCGATTTTCATGAAACCTAGCACGCATTATTTTAGGCGCAATACAGTACTTACATTACTTACTTAGCTGGCTTGTTACAGAACGGTTGTTCCATAAGCCAAGCTTAAGAAAGATTTCCAAGCGCGCCGGTCTTGTGCGCATCTCCTCCAATTTGAAAGGCCACGTTCCAAGATGTTGTCATCTACTTGGTCTAATTCGTGGCCTTCCCCTTCTACGGGAACCATCAGTAGGCTCGCTTTTATATGCCTTTCGAGCTGGGACATTCTCATTCATTCGCACAACATGCACCGTAGTCGCTGCAGCTCAATACGACTGGCTCTGTCGTTGTCCGCGTATAAATTGTAAAGCTCGTGGTTCATTCAACGTCGATATTCATCGTCGACGCAGATCGGCCCGTAGATCTTTCGGATAACGTTTCTTTCAAACACCCCAAGAGCAGCCTCATCTGCTTGCGCAAGTAAAGTGTGAGTTTGGTCTGGCGAAAGGTTGCCTTGTTTCTAAACTGCTTCCTTAGACCATCACAATCTTTCTCCGAATTTCGAAACTGATGTCATTCGTTTTATTTATGACGGTACCAAGGTATAACAAATCTTTAACTACCTCGATGCTGTAGTTCTAAAGTTCTACAGTTGGTCCGAGTCTACTGGACGTCTTGCGCGTCCAGTAGACTCCATTGGCAGACTCCTTCTCAATTTGTTCAATTTGGCTTGTTACAGAAGGGTTGTTCTATAAGCCAAGCTTAAGAAAGATTTCCAAGCGTGTCGGTCTTGTGCGCATCTCCTCCAATTTGAAATGCCACGTTATTGTCTTCTACTTGGTCTTTTCATCTAATATATATTCACCGTCGACGCAGATCGGCCCGTAGATCTTTCGGAGAATTTTTCTTTCAAACACCGCAAGAGCTGCTTGCGCAAGTATAGTAAAGTGTGAGTTTGGTCTGGCTGGAGGTGGCCTTGTTTCTAAACTGCTTACTTAAACCATAGTAGCATCTGTTGCCCATCACAGTCTTTCTCCGAATTTCGAAACTGATGTCATTCGTTTTATTTATGGCGGTACCAAGGTATATAAAATCTTTAACTACCTCGATGCTGTAGTTCTGAAGTTCCAAAGTTGGACCGAGTCTACTGGACGTCTTGCGCCAGACCCACTTTGGCAGACTCCTTCTCAATTTGTTCAAAGGTGGATGTTATTGCTCGCAATGTTCGTCACACTATATCGATGTCATCGGCATAGGCGAGTAACATGTGTAGTTTGCTGTACAGAGTACCATTTCTGTTCACCTTTGCGTCTCGTATGACCTTTTCCAGTAGTATGTTACAAAGATCACACGAAAAACTGTCACCTTGTCTGAATCCTCGTTCGGTATTGAAGGGCTCCGATAGGTCCCTTCCGACTATAACTGCTGATCTTGTGCCACTTAAAGTTATCATGCATAGCCGTATTAATTTTGCAGGAATGCCGAACGTTGGCATGTCTTTAAAGAACTCTGAACGGATAGGGCTGTCGAATGCGGCTTTATAGTCGACGAATAGGTGGTATGTGTCGATGTGTTTTTCGTGGGTCTTTTCCAGGATTTGTCAATCGTTCACACAGCACACTGGATACCACTTTATATGCGAGGGGAAGAAGGCTTATTCCTCTATAGTTGGCACATATCGTCTTGTCTCCTTTTTTGTGCCAAATTGTACAAATGAGCTGGTGCATGCTCCTGACCAGCATCTGATCACCAGTCTTGAATAGTTCGGTTGGTAAACCATCGGCACCTGCTGCTTTATTGTTCTTCAGCCGATTAATTTCAATTTTTATCTCATCTTGGCTAGGTGGTATACACTCTATACCGTCATGTCTTATTGGTGCATCTTCTTCACCGCCGCTATTTGATACCAGAAGCTTTTCAAAATGCTGCTGCGAAGTCAATCAAACCCATGCCGTTGTCGGATGTTTCTTCATGGAGACTGAATTTTTCCCTTTCGATTTTTGCATTAAAATCTCCTAGCAGATTTTTAATGTAATGGACAGGGCAGCGGCCATATGTCGTTTCTAGGGGTTCGTAAAAATGTCTTTGATCTGTTCATCTTTGTCTTCCCTCAGAGCATGGGCGCAAATGAGACTGACGTAGAAGAACTTCGCTTTTATACGGATAATAGCAATTCGCTCAACTACTGGAGTGAATCTGGAGACAAGGTCTTTTATTCTCCTATTAACCATAAATCCGCAGCCAAATTTACGTCTCGTTTCATGGCAGCTATAATACGGGGCTTACTTACGTCAGTCCCTTTCCATCGCATTTGATGTAAGGCAATAATATCGGCTTTGTACTTCTTGAGTACATCCGCCAAGGCGAAAACTGCGCCTGTTCTGTACAACGTGCGCACATGCCAAGTGCAGATTCGCAGATCGTGGTCCTTTATACGTTTGCGGGGGTCGTAAACATTTGGGGGGTTTGGTTTTCTTTTTCATTGCTTTTTCACCCGACGCCTCAACCCATTCTTTTTAGTTCTTATGTGTGAACTCGCGTCACATATGATGATGAAAACTGTTACCCCAGGTGACACCTCGGGGAGGTCAGTGTCCACAATTGAGATGAAAGAGGGACCAAGATAAGACTGGGCTTCGCCATGTTAAAGCCAATCAGAGCCGTTGCTTGGTATCGATCATCCCCTACGTCACCCTTCAACTTATTTTCAAAATAGTCCTTGGAAATTTTTTCGAAAAAATTCTACGCATTATAATAGCCTTTGAAAAATATTAAAAAAGGGGTATAAAAGTCCTTTGAAACATTTTTTAAATCAACGCTTTAAAAAGTCCTTTTAAATTTTTCACAAAAAATCCTTGAAAAAGTTTGCTTTACAGCCCAATTTTATAGACATTCTCTTAGCCAACAACCATAGAAAAATCAGGAGATTCGACTATACAATTGCACCGAGAAAATTTCAGTGAATATTTTGGTCTGAGCACGATGGACCCACCTCTCCAAAACTTTTTAAGACAGAAACTCACTTCCATTATCAGATGTTACACAAACAATTTCCATTTATTTTTAAAATGTGTTTATGCTGTATGAATTATGTGTACATGCTTTTGTGTGTCTGCGTGTTCATGTGTGCGTGTGAGTTTTTTTGTGATGCTACTTTACATAATTTCCCCTTATAAATATTTTACTTATTACTCCCCTATAAATATTTGTTACACATACGTATACACATATATACCTTGATTTCGTATTTTCGTTTTCCTTTATATTTTTCCCCTTTTCTTCTTTTCTTTATCTTCTCCGGCGTCGTCGATGTCTTCCTTACAGAATGCGATCAAACGTTTGTCTCACGCATTGGCGGCCCACAAAATGGTACCTTCACAGCACCGCTGTTGCACAATCACCAGAATCATTCGCGTCAATGTCTCTACACTTTCCTAGCAGGACCCGGACAACGAGTTGAAGTAGTTTTTAAATCATTTAATCTAAGAGGAAATCCACCAGAGTAAGTAAACCAACCGCCACCACTACCACCACCAAGTGCAGCAATTGCAATAAATTGCGAACCGAAATTAAATGAAAATGCAATTGTATTTAATTGATTTAAATGTTTTCCTGTGCTAATGTTTTTTTCTCTTTTTTTATTTTCATTTTTTTCTCATTGTATAGCGGTTCGGCCGTTGGTGAATTACCATCGTAAGTAGCAATTTTATTTCTGGCTTTTATTTTTGCTCTCTTTCTTATTTTTTTAATATAAAATAAATGCAATTTGTTAGGCATCGCCATTGACAATTGAAAATGGGTTGGCATGTTTATTTGTGCTCTCGTTTAATTGGCATTTATTTGGAATTGTATTGTTTGATATTTCGCAGAATTGAAGTAAAATTAATTTTATATTTAATTATGTTGATAATTACTGTGGAAGGGTTATTATTTTAATTTCGATGTGATAGGACCTCGTCGATATCATAGAATGAGGGTAGACGACAATTTTTGCCTTCATCAGTTTGATAAAGACCTTGAAAAAATATTATTTAAAAAATCCTCGCCTCTTTTAGGCCTTGAAAAAATATTCTTTAAAAAATTCTCGCCTCCTTTATCCACGCCTTGAAAAAGTAATCTTTAAAAAATCCTCGCCTCTTTTATCCACGCCTTGAAAAATTAATCTTTAAAAAATCCTCGCCTTGAATAGGCCTTGAAAAATTAATCTTTAAAAAATTCTCGCCTTGAAAAATTAATCTTTAAAAAATCCTCGCCTTGAAAAATTAATCTTTAAAAAATCCACGCCTTAAATAGGCCTTAAAAATTAATCTTTAAAAAATCCACGCCTTGAATGGGCCTTGAAAAATTAATCTTTAAAAAAACCTCGCCTTAAAAAATTAATCTTTAAAAAATCCTCGCCTTAAAAAAATAATCTTTAAAAAATTAATCTTTAAAAAATCCTCGCCTTGGATAGGCCTTGAAAAAATCTTCTTTAAAAAATCCACGCCTTGGATAGGCCTTGAAAAATTAATCTATAAAAAATCCACGCCTTGGATAGGCCTTGAAAAATTAATCTATAAAAAATCCATCCCTTGGATAGGCCTTGAAAAAATCTTCTTTAAAAAATCCACGCCTTGGATAGGCCTTGAAAAATTAATCTATAAAAAATCCATCCCTTGGATAGGCCTTGAAAAAATCTTCTTTAAAAAATCCACGCCTAGGATAGGCCTTGAAAAAAATCTTCTTTCAGAAATCCACAACTCTTTTAGGCCTTGAAAAAAATCTTCTTTCAGAAATCCACGACTCTTTTACGCCTTGAAAAAGTCTTCTTTCAGAAATCCACGACTCTTTTACGCCTTGAAAAAGTCTTCTTTCAGAAATCCACGCCTCTTTTAAGCCTTGAAAAAGCCTTCTTTCAGAAATCCACGCCTCTTTTAGGCCTCGAAAAAATCTTCTTTCAGAAATCCACGCCTCTTTTAAGCCTTGAAAAAGTCTTCTTTCAGAAATCCACGCCTCTTTTAGGCCTTGAAAAAAATTTTATTTAAAAAATCCAAGTCTTAGAGAGTCCTTGAAAATATCTTCTTTAAGAAATCCACGCCTTAGAGAGTCCTTGAAAATATATTCTTTAAGAAATCCACGCCTTAGTGAGTCCTTCAAAAAATATTTTTAAAAAAATTACGCCTTAGATATTCCTAAAAAATATTGTTTGAGAAATTCAAGCCCATGGCTGGAATTCCTTCAATCCTGCGGTTAAATATTTTTAAATCTATTTTGTTACCAATTATTTAAATATCCTCCCTTCCTTCTCTATCTCTCCATTACAGATGTGTTCATGAGTATATGGATATATACTCAGAAGTGCAATCATCGGAACCAGCAGAACTGATAAACTCACCATTTGGTGGCCGTTATTGTGGTACAATACCACCCCGACAACGCATTTCCATGTATCGTGCCATAGCTATTTCATTTTTTACCAATAAAAATCTAACAACACCGGATCTATTTGAGGGCACCTTTAGATTTATAAATGCATGTAAGTATCCAAAAAAAACAGACATAACCCTCAATTCTCAAGACAAATATATAATAATCCAAATTTAACCCCTTTGAAAAAATTTCCTCTCTTATAGCGGAATATGAGATTGGTATACCAATTGCTGGTTCGCCATGTTCCTATACAATAACACCCAGTTTGAGTATAAATAAGACGGGCGTCTTAATATCGCCCACCTATCCGGGTGCCTATCCCAAGGATATGTCCTGTACATATCAATTTTTGGGTGAATCGAATCAAAGAGTTCGTTTAGAATTTCGTGATTTTGATCTGTTTTTTGGTCGACCACAGTGAGTACCATTGATGGCTGACCAAAAGCCCTAAAAGTTTTACTCTAAGGTATATTTTTTCATCCATCCAACAGGGGAAAATATACCTTAGCTGTTAAAGCTTTTCTGTTAGAGTGTATTTCAAAATTTTTATTAATCAAAATTCTATTTTTTCAAAATTTTCTTTTTTTATTTTCTATTTCTCTCTAAATTTATATCTCTGAATCTCTACAAAAAAAATCTAAATCTGTCTACCTATACCAATCAATCTATCAGCTGCCCATTCGATTATGTTAAAGTTTACGATGGTCCCGACAATTCATCAGCATTAATTGGTACATATTGCGGACAGCAAAGAAATTTAGTTTTATATTCGAGCGAATCGAGTCTGTTTGTTCATTTTTTTACATTATCGCGCACAGCCAATACGCAAAATCGTGGTTTTAAAGGAATTTATGAATTTAGTGAAAGTTTTGTTAAATTAGATTTTATACGTAAGTATTGTCAACTATATACATAACTACAACAACATCAAATCAAATATGGTATTTTATTATCAATATTATTTGTTTTATTTTATGAGATTTTATTTGGTATATGTATATGCATATATTTTTTATAGAAATTAGTTTATCTTTGTATTTGAAAACGAAAGAAGAAGACGCATCGTCCCAAAAATGAATATTTAAGTCCCCATACCTTCGAAAGTCTGAAGAGGTTTGAATATATTATATCCTTTTTGTATTTTTCTAAGGCAGGATTTCGTAGAAAACCATTTTTAGGAAATCCACGTGTGTGTTTCCAAACCTATCACATGGGAACAATATTATTGAAAATCCTCCTGAAAAAATTCCACACTTCTGAATAACCCACTTTGGATTTTTGGATGATGATTTTCCGGACAAATAAAAGTCCTGGAGAACATTCTTAAAAAATTCTCGTCTGCGATTTCTAAACCTATCGCATGTCCTGAACAATACAATAATCTTAAAAATCCTCCCCTACGGATTTCGGAACGATCCACCTCTATATATCAAAGATCCTGAAAACTATTTCTAAAAATCCACGCCTACCGATATCACGGTCCTGGAAAGAATATTAGTTCAGAAATTTGTCAATATAGATTCCTATTTAACACAATTCAGATATAGGGATACCGTCAGATTTTAAGTAATTTTAAGGTCCTGAAGTGGCTGTATTTTGGTTGCAGTTGCAGAGTACCTAAGCTGGCTTAATGCCAACTCGTGATCTTGTATGGAAACAAAGACGGCGAAGTCGATGTTATAGCCTCATCTGGTCTGCAGAACTACATCCCATTTTGAAGGAAAGCATACCAGAAGAAATCTATGATTTGATCTTCGTCTCTTTTCTCTCCCTACGACCTGAAACCCAAATAAATTTAAAAATAGGACGTATATCACACAAAACTTCTCCTCAATCATGATGTGCACTCCAATTTATTGGACTCTTGTAACCTATAGTCACCGGACCAAAGACACTAACCCTAAGTTTCCTGAAGAATTCTGCTACCTTCATGATTTTTAGAATTTCTTCAAAGCCTTTGTATATTAGGTTGGGCAAAAAGAAATCCATTATTTTTATATGAACTACAGGAAAATAATGCCTCCCTCATAGAAGTCCGGCTCTCTATTTTCAAAAAACTCTAGTAGTCGATTTTCACAATCCTCCCTAGATACCAATTTTTTATCATTGAATGAATTTTGAAATGCAAGAAAAATATGATAACCGCAGCCCCAGTTTCATTATTTTTAAGGGGTTAGCCGCATTTCCCTGTGATTTGGCGTTCCAGGTTTATGGATGATAAATTTGATATTGCGGATTCTGAGTGTGTGGAAAATCTTCCTACCAAAAATGGTTAATATTGATTGGTCCAAATTTCTGGGTAGCCCTCACTATTAGTCGGTATTTTGGGCAAATTAAGCGCTATTTGACTCTAATTTGATATTATGAGCTCTGATTGTGTTGAACATTTTTATACTAAAAATTAACAATATCGGTCCACGTTTTAATATAGCCTCCAGAATCGTTTTTCAACCGATTTAGTTATAATTTCATAATTTGAGTTCCATGTTTACCCTTTGTAACAATTTTGATGGTCCTAGGTGCATTTTCCAATCGAGATGGTTATATGTTAGCATTACGAAGTGGCTGTAATTTGACATTCAAAGGCCTTTTGCGGTAAACAAACTCTTCACATATCATGTTCGGTATATTCAAGGTGCAGCCTAATTTTCCAACCAGAGTGTATGTAGTTAAGTGTTCAGTATTTTCTCCTGGCCGTATTTTACCTTAGCAAAGCCTCTATAGACAATATATGACCTTTGGGACAACAAAGGATCGTAGACCTCTAGGAAGACCTCTAGAAAAAAGAAGTCACCCAGGTTTGTTCGGATTATAGAAGACATCTAGGTCTTGTATAGACATTAGAGGACCTCAGGTTTGTCTATAGACAATCTGTGGGTCTCCTATATCCTAAAGACAGTGGAGGACATCTGGGACTTCTTTAGAGCATGGAAGACATCTGGAACTTCAGTAGATACTAAAACTAACAGAACAACAAAATGCCTATAGTTCAATAGAGGACAACTGGGTCTTCTATAGACAACTGAAGAGTTCCACCTCTTCCAATGATAACGAATGACTCTTTCTCGGAACTCTGGAGCTCCTTTATTACATTGATTGTTCCGTATACAACAGAAGGTATCTGAGTTTTCTAAATACAACCGATATAGTTTAGTGTTTAGTAGTCCTCCAAGCAGCAATTTACCATGACATAGCCTCTATATAAAAGTTCGGATTGGTTTTAGGCATATTAAATATACACCTCATGGTATTAAATGGGTATTAAAAGTTCAGCCGACCCAAACATCATGGCATTTTTACTTGATTAGTTTTATTCATGACAAATCCCGCTAAAACTTAGCATCTTTAGGTATAATTTGTACGTATCTCAAATGTATTTGAAGATGACCTCTGTATCATATATAGGTAATAGAGGGCTTCTGGGGCTTTTATAGACAGCGAACAAGAGTTCGGTTAGCTATCTGAGACATTAGATGACGTGTGGAGAATCTGTAGACAAAAGAAGTCCCAAAGGCAATGCAAAACCTCTTACACTTCCTCTAGCAGTTTTTCTAACACATAATAGAAGACTTTCGTATCTTCTAGATACAATGTAATACATCTGGGTCCCCTATAGACAATAAAGGACTATAGACAACAGGGACGTAGGAAGGGGGCGGCCCGGGCCCCCCCCCCCCCCAAGATGTTTTTTTTCACATTAAATTTATGTTTGCAACAGCAAATTTTTTTGTGGACAACCGAAAACATGTAGCTCTTCTAAAGACAATGGAAAACCTATTACAATTCCTCTATATACCCTATAGACAATACACGACGTTTTTAATTGTTTAGTTTCATTCATGACTGGAAACCCTAAAACTAGGCATTTATATGTACAATGGGTTTAGTAGAAGATTTATGTGTCTTCGAGATGCTATAGAGGACCTCTATGGTGCCATGGTAATCAGACGGTCTCTAGCTCTTCTACAGACAATGATCTATATATCATCTGTTATCTATAAAAAATATAATACTTATGGCGAACTGTGGATCTTCTATAGAAATGAGAGGACCTGTGGGACCTCTAGTTCTTTGGACGTTGGAGTACAGAAGACTTATTACACTTCCTCTGACTGCTGTATCTAATATATAAGTTTAGTTACTCGACAAACAACAATAGACTTCTGAGTCTTCTGGACACAATAGAATACCTCTGCATCCAAAATAGACAATAAAGGACCTCAGGGATTTCTTTAGAAATGGAAAAAAACTCTACCACTTCCATAGACAACTGAAAACCTCTGAGACTTCTATATACCACAGAAAACATCTGGGACTCCATCTGGGAATCCTAACGTCGTTTTTAATTTCATTCATGGTGTTAACCCCAAGTTTTAGTGTTGCTCTATGGGTACAATTTTCATGTATTCCAAATAGGTTTGAGAATTAATTATGTACATATATTATTTAATTTGTTTTTAAAGTTTTCAGCATAATTTTGATTTACATTTTATGGCTTACTGTATGTGTTTGTTATTATTGATCCCATTCCGATGCGGAGGAACTTTGATGGATTACTCTGTACATATTAAATGTTTCGTTATTCATTTATTTTTGCAATTATTGGTTACAATTTTTTATAAAATTTTAAAACAACTTCTAATAAAACTACAACAACTACTCTTTCTCATCCTATCCACCATACAACAAAATTTCAAAACTTCCAAACTATCATCCGACAATTATGAAATGGTCAAAATTTTCCAAAATCTTAACTCTGTAACACACAACGACAACTACAACAACAACATAACAAACATCGTTCTTCCTTCGCTATGAAAACCGAAAAACAATATCCAAAAAAATAAACAGGAGAAAATGATGGCATTCACATACGTGGCTCCGAATGTGATCAAAAGATTTTATCTAAAAAGGAATCCACAGGTTTTGTCCTATCGCCAAATTATCCTTATCCCTATATACCAAAGACCGTTTGTAGGTAAGTACAACAAAAATTGCATTAACTTCAATATCTGAATCCCTTATTCATTTAATTTTTGTGGGGATATCATTTTCGTTTTGCAGATATTTCATTTATGGTATGCAGGATGCCCAACATTTAGAACGGGTACGTTTGGAATTTTTGGCATTTAACATACCAAAGGTTGAGCATAAGGATAAGAGCGAGTAAGTAGACACCAACACACATATACACCTATAGAATTGAGGCAAATTGTCAAATTGATATCAATAACAAATTTATTCGTACCTTTTCAGATCAAATTGTACCGATGGCTATCTGAAAGTCTATCTCAAGGGCCAAGAAACTGCCGATGCCTATGATAAATTCGATTATGAATTATGTGGCAATGAAACTCAACGTGTTGTTAGTGATGGTCCCCGTCTGGCCATGGTATTTAGTTCGGGTGAACTGCAAGGGCGTGGTTTCAAGGGTAAATATACCTTTGAGACTGAGTACAAAATACCCGGTACCGCGGCACCCGATGGCACCTGTAGCTTTACCTATGTCAGTTCATCGAAAAAACGTGGCGAATTGAATAGCCCCCGCTATCCATCGAATTATCCCTCGGATACGAATTGTTCATATCTGTTTCTCGCCGAAGCCAATGAACAGGTGACAATTGTATTCGATCATTTTAAAATAAAGGCCGATGGTAATGCAAATGTAACCGCAGGGGCATATGGGTAAGTCGTGGCACTTAAATTTTTTTCTTGCTAAACTCAGTTTTAAAAACTTTTTTATTTGAACAGCTCTGTTAACTGCTTTGAAGATTGGTTGGAAATGTATGTCGTCTATCGGGATAATAATGATCGTTTTCTTGGTCGCTATTGTGGTATGACAGCGCCCGGCCCCGTCGAGAGCCCAAGGGGTGCGGTGGGTTTGCGTATTACATTGCATACCGATCAAGAGAATGTGGCCAGTGGTTTTAAGGCTCGTTATTTTTTTGAAACTGCCAAAAGTGAGATAGGCGACTGTGGAGGCAACTTTTCCAGTGAAGATTCAGGCATTATAACATCCCCCAATTATCCGGCGGGTTATAAGGCGCCCGGTCGCGGTATGGCCTCAATGGCATGCAATTGGATAATGACAGCCCGTCCGGGCTATAAGCTATCAATACATTTTGAACATTTCTCATTGGAGGGTGATCCGGCAAGTGAGTATAGAATGAAGTATCATTTTCAGATTTTTCTTTAACCTTGTTCTGGTTCATTTTATTTTCAGATCGTGGTTGCCCTGCAGCTGTTTTGCGTCTTTGGGTTAATGTTGACTCCGATCAACCGCCTTTGGAATTGTGTGGCGAAAAGCCCCCCATGGAACAATGGCATTATATTTCTACGGGACAAACGGCTCGTATTAGTTTTACCACCAGTGATAAGACTGTTGGTGCACCGGTAAGTACCAGAAACCTAAGGTAGAATAGCTAATGGACGAACCTCGATGGAAAGTAGAGGATTACTAGATCTTCAATTGACAAATAATATCTCTTAACTTCTCTTTCGCATATTGTAGAATCTTAGTGCTTCTATGGACAATAGAACACTTCGATTTTTTTAACGTCTAGGCGTAGAAATTTTCTACGTCCTCTAAGGCAACAGAATTTCTCCAGGTTTTTATGAATAATCTAAAACCTCTAGGTATTTTATAGACAAAATCAAAAAAGATCTATAGGTACAGAATATCCCTTAGGAAAAGTAGAAAAAACCCTGTTTTTCTACAGTATTATATTTTCTATAGCAAATCAGAGTTCTTCTTTTTTTCTGAGGGATCTTCTGGGCCTGCTAAAGAAAATAGAAGATGCTTGGGTATTGTATAGAAAATAGAGAACTATAGAGGCCTTGTATAGACAATACATGCCCTCTGAATGTTCTATATACAATAGAGGGTCTCTAGGTCTTCAAAATAAAGATGCTTGGAACCTCTGGGACTTCTTTCTAGACAAAATAGAGACTTGAGGGTCTTCTTTACACAATAAAGGATCACTGCGTCATCTATAGACAATAGAGGACCTATGATTCTTATACAGACAATTAAAATCCTCTCGGTCTTCTATAGAAAAACCTTTGGATCATCTATAGATAATAGGGAACCTTTCGATCATCTATAGGTAGGAGAAGAACTCTTGATCATCTGTAGACAATAGAATGACTTTAGGCCTTCTATAGAAAACGGAACTGCATTGGGTGTTATTTAGACAATAGGTGACATCTGAGTCCGCTGTACACAACAGGGGACCTGTGGATATACTAAAGATATTGGAAGACCTGTGGGTATAATATAAATATTATAGTATCTGTGGGTATTATGTGGGCAACTGAAAACCTTTTGCTCTTCCGAAAACAATAGAAGCCCTCTTAGTTCGCTGTACACGATAGGAAACCTGTGATTCTACCTTAGACATTAGATGACCTCTTGCTCTTTCGAAGACATTGAAAGACCTATTGCACTTTCTCTGACTTCTGTAACATAAGTTCTTCGATGGACAACAGAAGACCTCTGGGTATTTTGTAGACATCGGAAGATCTCTGTGTCTTCTACAGACCTGTAGGTATTTTGTGGGTAACTGAAGACCTCTTGTTCTTCCAAAGACAATGGAAGCCCTCTGGGTCCGCTGTACACAATAGAGGACCTGTAGGTTTACTGTAGACATTAGAGGACCTTTTGCTCTTCCGAAGACATTGGAAGACCTTTTGCACTTCCTCTGACTTCTGGATCTCCAATGTAACTTTGATGATAGACAACAGAAGACCTACAAGTCCTCTAGAGGAAACAGAAGTCCTCTGGGTATTTTGTAGACATTATGCATTCAAAAAATACCTATAGTTCTCCCAAAGAAAACGGAAGATCTATGGCTCTGACCTTTGGACATCCTATATTACTTTGGCTCTTCCGTAGACAGCAGAAGGTATTTGAGTCTCCCAAAGACAAGCGATATATTTGGGATTTGAATATTTTGAATTTTTCATAGTCTTTAAAGTAACAGAAGATCTCTGGGATTTCTATAGAAAATTATTGAACTTTAGATTTCCCATATAATCTTCTAGGTCTTCTATGGACCTCTGGATCGTCTGTATTAAATAGATTATTAGTCTTCTATATTCAGCAGAAGACCTCTAGATCTCCCAAAGAAAACAGAAGATCTATGGATCATTTTCTGGCCTCTGCACCTCATATAATAATCCAGATTTTCCATAGCCCTCTGAATCTTTTTCTGACAAATGAACCTCCAATATAACTTTGGTTCATCCACAGACCATAGGAAGGTATCTAAGTCTTGTAAAGTCAATAGAATACATCTGGTATTTCCATAGACAAATATGAACCTGTAGATCAACAATGGTCTTCTTAAATAGACAATGGAAGATAACATAAGACCTCTAGATAACATAAGACCTCTGCGTATTTATCTGAACCTAACAGAAGACCTCTACCTCTTTTATATGAAACGAAAGACCTCTTTGTATTCTTCCTCTGAGATTTGCACTTTCTCTGAGACTTATATAGACAATAGAATACATTTGATTTTTCTATAGACAACAGGCGACTTCTGGGATCGTTTTCTGACCTCTGCACCTTCTATATAACGTCGGTTCTTTCATAGCCCATAGAAGGTATCTAGTTTTCGAAAGAAAATATTTTGACCTCAGTTTTCAGTAAGGACCGCTTTTCCTCTAGACCTTCTCTAATTCTCTTACTGAATTTCCAAATATATACAATCCTTAAGTAATAGTAGCCTTTTGAAGAACTTCCGGCACTTCCATCATAGACAATATGACGCTACTCAGTCTTCTAAGGACCATTGACGATATCTTCAACTCCATGCCTTCTACATATCTCCCTCTTTCGTCTTCAAACAATATACAATTCTAATTTATTTTATAATTAATTTCTTCATTTTCTAATATCTCTTACAGGGCTTCCGCATTGTATGGACTGAAATACAAGATTCTGGACCAGGACCACCATACATTGGCCTGCTCTGCGAGTCCACCTACCATTTTCAGTGTGAAGTGGGCTATTGCATATCCGATAAATTGCGTTGTGATGGTGTCAAGAACTGTGGTCCCAACGATAATAGTGACGAAATGCACTGTGAGTCGTGAGTGAGTCGAACGGTTCAGTTCATTTTTTTACTTTGTTTTTGTTAGTTTAATTTGATTTTAAATTTTAAGTTGAATTAAATTGCGAAAAGAATAACTTCTTTGTTTCTCAAAGAAGTTCCAAAGAAACTTTGAAAGCATTAAGTTTCTAATTTCTAATAATATGAAAAACATCCTCTGGGATTTTATCAATTATTAGAAATTTCAATTATCATTTAGTTTTTAAGTTTCATTTCAAAATTTGTTTCTTAATTTCATATTTCTGTTTCATTTTAGTTTGCGTACATTTTTTGTTTCTTCTTTTCATTTATGTTCTTTCTTTAAGTTTCCCTTTGGTTTTACTTACTTATAAATTCATTATAAAAAACGTTTCCATATATATTAATATGAAACTTGAACCCGACGATACACTTTTTCCAAACTAAACTAAAAACCAATCTAATCTTAAAAATTTGCTGTTTTTTAAAACTATACCAACTAATCACTCTACTATTAAATAACATTTAACTAAATTTATATAAAACTATTTACTAAAAACTAAATTATATAAAATCGAATCAATCTCAATCATCAATCTTAGTTAATAATCTAAGTCGTCTTCACCACCAATTTTAAAATTAGTATAACTTTTGACTGCGACTGTGTTTAGAATCAAAAAATTATTGGAGTAGAGGGTTTACAGTTTCGTGGGAATATATTTTCCAAAATATGAACCTATTGAAAACTGTAAACCCACCATCCATTCCATCACTCTTTGTCTTTTAGCGTATTTTGTGTAGGTTTCCGTTTTTTGTCATAGTTTTGATGTGTCAAGAAAAATGTGTGTTGCAGTTGATTTTGTTTTTGTGTTCAAATGTAAAATTGCATGTATATTTTGTTTCGATTTTAATTTCGAATTTGAAGTTGGTTTTACTTTATATCTGCAACATCATCTATGTATGAGTGTGTGTGCATCAATCCCACAATTATGTTTTTTTAGTTGTTGCACCACCAGAAAAGTCATTCCAAATACAAGTTGATTTTTGTTTTATAGGCTTGTAGGAAACAACTGAGAAAAAATATTATTCTATACAGCTACAAAAATATTATGCTTCTATTCTATAGATTCTATAGAAATCGGTAGACTTCTAGCTCTCCCAAAGAAGTCGAAACACCTATGACTCTTATTCTTACAACTGGACATCATTCATTAAGCAATAGAAGGCCTCTGCATCTTGTAAGATCAAAACCATAATTTTTGGATTTCTATAGACAATTATGGGCCTCTAGATAAACAACTGGCTTCTTAAATAGACAATAGAATATAACATAAGGCCTCTGCGTATTCGTCTAACGCTAACAGAAGACCTCTACCTTCAATGTCCAACGAACGACCTCTATGTGTTCTTCCTCTGACACTTGCAATAGAAGGGCTCTGAGTCTTGTAAAGTCTTTAGAATACATCTGGGATTTCTATAGACAAATATATAAAAAAGTAGACCAATAATAGACTTTTTAAATAAACAATGGAAGATAACATAAGACCTCTGCGTATTCTTCTGAAGCTAACAGCAGACATCTACCTCTTCCATATGCAACGAAGCAGCTCTAGATGTTCTTCCTCTTAGACGTCTATAGACAGCAGGCGACCTGTGGGTCATCTATATTGAATAGAGGATATGTTAGTATCCTATATCCAACAGAAGACCTCTAGATCTCCCAAAGAAAACGGAAGATCTATGGATCATTTTCTGACTTCTGCACCTTCTAGAATAGAATACATCTGAGATTTCCATAGATAATTATGTACCTCTATATCAACAACAGACTTCTTAAATAGAAAATGGAAGACATTAGGGACTAATATTCACAATGGAATGACATGTATAGACAATATAAAACCTCTAGCTCCTCAAAGAAAATTGTAGACATTTGGCTCTTTCTCTAACCTCTGCCCCTCCTATATAACTTTCGATCTTCCATAGACAATAGAATGACTCTGAGTCTTCAAAAGACATTAGAAGACATCTGAAAATTGTTCGATATATACTTGAATATTTTTGGGAACTTCTCAAGATATTATAAAACATCTGGATCTCTTATATGCAGTAGAATACCTTTTGGTCTGTCAAAGACAATGAGTCCTCCAAGGATGTATGGTCCCTATATATGCAATAAAAATCTTTGGGTCTTCTATATTTAACAAAAAAATCAGTAATCTACATATTAGGTTGGACTATAAAAGACCTCTTCTGAAGACCAGTAAATGCTACTCTATTTTTAAACTATAGCCACCTTGGTTGAACATATAGAGATATGGAGAGATGTGTTTCATATACAACTTTAAAATGTTGTAGATTAAAGAGCAACTCAAAACCTTATATCGGCTAGCATATATTTTAGAAAATATCGTCGTATTTTGTATGTAGTAGAAACCTTCTGTGTTTTCTGTAAAAAAGATGGAATACTTCTAGATCCATAAAGATATATAAATCTTGAGATTTTCTACCGCCAATAGAATGGTAATCTGAATGACATTGAAGACCAGAAAAAGAAAATTGAAGGACCCATAGACCCTTTAGGCTTCTATCCTCAATAGTTTTGTTTATATCCGGAAATAGGAATCATTAATATCAAGCAATATAATATCTCAATCGACAATATAATATACCCTCTAGTAGAAGTACTCATGCTCTTCCACACACAGAATACTTATAGACAAAATAGGACATGTAAATTTTGTTAGACAGCGGTAGGTCTTCTAATATATACCAAGAAGAGAAGAAGAACGCTAAGACTTTTGTAGATAATATAATATTTTTAGGCCTTAAATAGACAAAATAAGTTTTGAATGTATTTTATAGACAATATGAAACCACATGGCCTCCATAGATATTTTCTAGATAAAAGAATTCCCCTGGATCTTCTGTAGAAAATATGGAATACATCTAGGCCAATAAAGATTTATAAATCTTGAGGTTCTTTACCGTCAATATAAGAGTAATCTAAAGGCCATAGAAGACCAGCTAAATAAAATTGAAAGACCTATATAGACCTTCTATATTCAATAAAATACCCTTAAGGCTGCTACAGATAGTAGAAACCCTCAGGAGTAGTTTAGGTCTTCTATTGACCAGAAAATATATCCAGACTTTAAAAAGAAAATAAAAAAATAATCAAGCAAAAGAAAATCCAATAGACAATATAAAAAAGGACAATCTAGACAATGGTAGGTCTTCTAATCTATCCTAGGTTTTTACAGGCATTAGGTCGCCTCGAAGTCTTTTTACAATCAAATGAAGATCGCTAAGACTTTCGTAGATAATAGAGTAGTTGTAGGTCTTCAATAGACAATTTTTAACTCCTAAACGTCTTCTATAGGTAATAAGAGATAATATGGCCTCCATAGATATTAGAAGACCTGAAGTTGTTCCATACAAAATCGAACACATCCAGTGGGTCTTCTGTATACACAATACCTCTATAAGCAATATAAATTATCAATTTCTTCCAAATACAATAGAATACATATAGACAAAATAGCGGACAATATAAGGTTCTCCATATAAAACATGAAAGGCCTATTGATTTTTATACCCTCATCTTTATGGATATATGGGTATACACATTTGATACGACAAACATGTCCCTCATCGAATTGGAGTCGATTTACAAACGTCCGCCCGTCTTTCTGTCTGACCGTCTGGTGCGCACGATAATTCTCGAAGGAAGTAACCGATTTCATCCAAACTTTGCACATCGTAATATTTGTTCCGAACACAGTTCAAGTTCGAAGATGAGGAATATCGGTCCACTCTTTCTGGTACCTCCCCCATAAAATGGTCAAAATTGGAAACAAATTAATTTTATAATATCATGCGAACAGACTATCCGAATTGAACCAAATCATTACCCAGCCTAGATTAAGTCCGAAGATGAGACCCATTAGTTCACTCCCCCACAAAGGGTACAAACTTTTCAATATTTATAAATTTAATATTAGGCGAAGGAAATATCCGATTTGAATCAAACTTTGCACAACCTATTACCTTTACCAAGCCTAGATCAAGTCCCAAGGTGAGACCTGTCGACCCTCTCCTACGGGTACCTCCTCTACAAAGGGTCAACATTTTATAAACTTGTAAAGAACCGATTTTATTAATCGATCGATTTGATTAAATCCGAAACCTTTTTTGTAAGAACATATACCTTATATAAAGTGAACAACACCGTCTGACACGCTTTTACTTGTTTTTTTCTCCTTCAGGTCTTTTTTGGGCAATAGAAATCAATGTAATGGCCAAAGTATACTGAAGACAATATGTTCTTCTAAAAACAATAGCATATCTTATGATCGGGAAGGCAAATCCTACATCCGAAACAACATCAAACCTCAAGTTCATTTATAGACAATATCTGATATTTAGTTCTCAAAGTCGATGGTCTATACACACCCAAGTACCATTAGGTGTTCTTTAAACAATGAACGGTCTCAGAGATAAGAGAAGGTATCTAGATTTATGTTTTTAATCTTTTTAGACAAATAATGAAAATAGAACCGTCGATTTTCGATTTTCTGTAGACCAAGGGATATCTATATAACTTCTATGGTTTATATAATGGCTTCGGAAACTTTTACAGACTAGATGGAATACCCTTTCAGAGCCAATAAAGACTTATAGAGGTTTTTATTTTAGCAATCCTGCTGCTCATATAGATTTTATTCCACATCATGTGTGAATTTTTTTTATTTCCAATGAAAGCTTTTTTAGTTCATTTTCAAAATAAATATATATTTGTTAATATATTGCTTACATTTAGGCGTCATCTTTCTTATACGAATAGTTACATACATACTGTTTTTTATTAACTCAAGCCAATATATATACAACTAAAACTTATCATTTTACTTACATACATCCTTCTTTCTTTTCTTATTCTTTCCTATCAATAAATACCGGAACTGTCTTTTTGTCTCACTTGTTTGTCATTCAACATTTAAACGTTACCATATTACCTT